TTTTTTTTTTTTAAAAAGCATACGTCAAACATCACTTTTGCTGACATTCGCCTCAAAAATATTTAGAAAGCAACCTCTTGTAGGTGTTTAATTTGGGCAACAAGAGACAACTGTTTAATTTTACCTTAAGATTCCGATGGAAAATGATGTTAGTTATGTGGCTAGTTTTGAGTATCATGTCGGCAGTTGGAGATCTACTGTCCGTAATAACTGCCGGGATTTGGTTGGACCACTTAAGTAAAATGAAAGATCGAACAGGTCTTGTGAACGGTTTAAGCGGTATGATGCTTCTTGCAGCAGTTGCTGTTGGTGGGTTTTTAAAGATTTTTATTTATGTTAAAAATGAGAAACAGGAAGCAGCTTTAAAGGAAGAAAAAAAAGACTTTTTTAGTAAACTACAAAATTTTATAACCGGCAAATTCCTGAAGATTATTTTTTGATCAAAAGACATCAATAAGTAGATATCTACTGTTAATAAGCTGCATGTAGTCACTAAGTAGTCAGTAAACACATCTGTACCAAGCTATTGTTTCAGTTGGTTAATAACAACCGACCATTCATTTCTAATAACAGCTGTAGTTCAGGATTTGCCTAGCTCTGAAGAAAAGTTTTTTTCACTCAACATACAGAGAAACCTGCCATATACAAACTTGAAACTTGACTCCGTTATTAGGCCGTTAATCACTTAATTAAAGTAACACTGTTTTTCGGCACAGACAAGCGCTGAAACAAAGAAAAAGAAAAAAAGAAGCATATAGAACCAATTCTTTACTAATAATTTTACAATATTTATGCCAAAGTAATCCAACTTGGTGCCATAAAACTGTTTCACACAATGAGGTAATGGCCGCCTGACAGTATTCGAACCTTTTTTGTTTCTATTGATCACCAAAAAACTCAATATCCACTATTTCTCATAATAACATTCTCATCTCGAACAGTTTCCTCAAATAATTTCTTCTGGGCATCTAAAATGACGTCTTTCTTCCTCACTGCTTTCAATATAACGCTGCAGTAAATACCTTCAATTTGAAACTCGTCTTTTCACTACCTTCTAACCAGCAAAGAAACACGATTTTTGTAGCAACTGAACCGTCTTGAAAGCTGTCACTTACTTTCTTACAATACTACGATAAAGAACTTCAAGATGATTGGCAACCTCACATCAATCTCAAACAAGTCGTAATTTTCAATTGAATATCGGATCACATCTGGAAAACCGCACTGTAACAAACGGAAATAAGTTGGGATATCTTATGAAACAGTACCGCCAGTTGACTATTAGTGAAATAATTCAAAGAGTAAAAATGCTAAAGTGGCTACCTCAACAAAAGCGCAATGAACTCAGTGCCTAACAGATTTCCTCCAACTGCGTAAAACTGACTCGACATGCAGTCGAACTGCAGACTTTCATTGGTGCACTCTATACGACAACCAAAAGCTGTCAAAAGCGTATCCGGTGTCGGTCACTAATTCACCAATGAAACTTCATAACCTCATATTTTATTTACGTAATGCAGCTACTAAGTTTAGTTGCTTTCGCCCAAATGAGATCGGACAAGAAGACAGGGAAAAGGGCGACATAGAATTGCACCAACTGAGTGAAAGAGCGAAAGAATTGCAGATATACAATAGAGGATCAACAGATTATATTGATCTACTGAGCAGTGATAAGAATCAGCTTGTCTTCATGGAAATAGCCCAGAAGCTAAACGAACTGCAATACGAGGTTCTACGGCTCTATCTTGACATCCAATAAGATATATTTACAAACCTCCGCTTAGTTGACCAACGTCGTAAGGTGCAAATCTGGGTAAAGAAAAAAGCTCAAATAGCTGATTTTGGAAGCTTGGTTACGTATGCATAAGTGGTAATTCCAGTGATGCATCCGACTGGTTGCAGAAAGTGGGATGAAATATTATTTGTCATTAATAAATAAATTTACAAAAACTGTTCTGCTCTCTGTTTTGCCTAAGATTTACCCAGCTTTTTGGAAAAATAAAACTGAATGTGCACTGCAGAACCAATTGAATAGTATTGTAAGGCTATAAAGTTTCAGGTGTATGCTTTATTTTATCCTCGGTGATGATATGTCATTACTGGAACTCAACTTCAACTAAGTATCAAGCAATAGGAAAAATTTCGGTACTTTTTTTGTGGTAGAAAATAAAATTTTTATCGTGTAATTCACTTTTTATATAACCGTGATTTCATACACCATTAAGAAAACAGCAAACTACAGTTCCAAAAAAGGAAATCAACTGATTGTCTAGAAAGCAGATGCAGGTCCAAAAGCTTGGACTTAAGGTTTAAAAGTAAAATGTTTTATTAAAGCCGCCAAAAAACTAATACCGACTTTTCAGAAACGTTCACGTTCACTACGAAGAAGAGTTTCAAGACCATCTGCTTCTATATCCAAAGCACGGCTTGACAAAAAAGGATATCATATAGTTTGACTTCAAGAACTGTTACTCAATTGTATAATAATTTACGTTCGTTTCAGAAGAAACTTAAAACGACTGCTTGTTCAGACTATAAATAGATTTACAAATATTCTGGAAACATAAAAGCAATAAAAAAATTGAATAAGAGAGGAAGCGTTTACAAAACACAACTGCAATCACTTGTATTCTCCAACACTGAGAACTCACAATAACTTTGCTTTAGTCCTGAAAATATATTTCAAATCACAATTAATAATGAGACGAAGCATTTTCACTGTATAATTCATCTTCAACAATAAACGAAAATTGGTTACCATTTTCGAGACCATACAAAACGAGGTCTCTTATTGCAGCTGCCAAACCGTGAAAGGTTTACTAGCGTCCCGTCCGAAGTAAAAGAACTAGTTGGTTCCATGACAAAACCATTAGAGACCAAAGCTTTTAATATTTTACAAATATTCAAGGCATCATCAATCCCACTATGCAAACGACCCTTAAAAAACACTAAAGAGGTATAGAAATATAAAGACAAGTAAATATTAACAAGTAAAAGACCGCAAAAAAATCTATTCACCAAATAACTGGTCCTATTCTTCCCAAAAATGAATAGCTGAATTAACCTGTTACAGAGAAAAGAAAGATAATTGTAAACGTGCAGGCTAAGGTATCCTATAAGTTCTTGTTAGAGCTCCATAACACCAATTCTCAAAATGCGGATGGTGGAGGATGCTACGGGTCCAACAGAAGACTTTAGACGGTATTTGGGAAGCTCCTGATTAAGTCTACTTTCCAAAACCAGATTTCGACATCCCGATAAGAGTAAACAACACAATGTTTGAGACTTCACTACTTTTTTGAGCAAAACTTTGGGTAATATTAAATTTTCTCACGCACGCTTTTAATTTCCTCTTTCTTGAAAAAGCTAAAATGGAATGAAGAAATAGTTACTAATAACTGATGCCATCCAACAAGGGGGCAGATATGAAATTTTTTCCCAAACAAGAGCTATAGTTTAACAAATTAGGAGATACAGCTTAAGATTCCTGTCTTGTCACACGACGTCAATAAGCAAGCAATTTTTAACAACATTTTGACACGTGCCAACAAATAATAGTAAACCAAACCCCTAACAACTAAATATTATAGACGACCAAAACAGAAAACTATTCTTCATAACAATTTAGAAACAAAAGAGAAACAAATAACATTGAAATTCCTTAGGTATTCAAAAAAGATATATATGACTGCCCTGTTTCGATCAAAAATCTAACCAAAAATAATCTGAAAAAGCGGAAAACTAACACATACCACAGGTTCTATGCCTAAATCTTGAAGCATTGTAGACAAAGAATTTGGGTAATGACCCAAAGCCTCAGAGAACGCTTTCTTCATATTGATCCACTCACTGAAATATCTATAAAAATATGCTTAGACAAACAAATATAAAAGTTCGGATAAACAGTAAAAAGCCCTGATCACTAAAAGCGTTGAGGAAATGAATATCTTAATAATGTAACTGTCACCAAACGTTTGCCATATGAGGAAACAGAAGTGCCAGAGCCGATCTAAGAGAATGAGGAAATTGCTCCAGCCACTTGAATCAAAAACAAGTTTAAAAGATAATCTTACTTTCGAAGCTTTAGTCCTCGATATTCAGCTTCCTGCGGTAACTGTACACCAAGATCCCAATCACCGCACGTGACCATTATCCACGAGCGAGAGTTTGTGCCATCTGAATTTAACAAACCACGCGAAAAAAGCCACTTATCAAAATCTTCCAAAACCAAGGGTAAAGTATTGCTTTTGTCCACTGTTTCCTAAATAAAGTTCTCGGTAAATCTTTTGCGACATGCGTCTTGGTCTGAAAAACAACTGAAAGACAAGGAATGCTGAGAGTAAAAAAACAATACCTGAACTATACCAGTCAAATTAGAACAGAAGGACGTAAGGAACTGATTTTCTGTTGGCCTCACGTACTGATGAAATCGGTCAATTTCGTCGAGAGAATGAGCATCGATTTGGCAAACAGGGAACTCAATTATTTCCTAAGCAATCCCAATTAAGTCGATTATTTTCAAAAATTTTAAGCCCCATTTCCGCTCGGTTACCAACTGGTTAATTGTCTAAGCAGCCAAGCTAATCAGCTTACCTGAACCGGTTGAATTTTTTTATTTTCTTCACAAGTGGCCTCAAAATCGACCACCAAAAAATAATCGAATTTCTGCTGAACCATCCTATTCCTCAATTTTTTTTTAACAGCAAGACTCAAAACATTCTCATGTTGTCGCAATCCTGGAATGAAAAACTGAATGCTCCACAAGAACAATGATAAAATGCGAAGAAAACTGCTACATCTCACCCGCTTGCCTAACACACCACTGAAAAAAGAAAAAGTTGCGAAATAGCACGATCAGGTCAAGCGACACGCAGTACGTCTAACCTGGCCCTATAAACATAGTTCACATATGTTTAGCCAAGAATGCTACCTTTGCTTTGAAGGACTTACGCATCCGAAGCATACCCAACCAGTATTCAAACACTCCCACCTATTAATGAAACTTGAACTGCGATAACAGCACAAAACCAAATTCGTAAGGATAATGCGACAGTCAACAAACCTTTCTCCGTACTGGTCGACAACTTCACGGCGCGAAAGTTTGAAGTGGTAGTTGTGCAACGAAAAATTCTGCTAATCAACATCCTTTCGGGATACAACCATCTAAAATCAGCAAGCGCATTTTTCCTCTACTGATGCGTCCCCACCTTAACAGACTCCCACGCCAGAGTCTAAACCACAAACTCTGCAATATCGCAGGTGCAAAACGCTCCAAACAAAAAATTATCGAGCCGACCCAACGTGCTAATAAGCCATCCAGAAAAAATATAAGTAAATATAACTGTTAACTTCCACTCCCCAAATCAGCTAGCAGAAACATAGCGTTTCAGCAATACCACACTCAAAAACACGTATGCAACCGCAGTAAAACTGAATCCCAATTCCTTCTCAAAAAAACCAGACTAACAAAGGTCTGCAATGAAACCACGACTGCGTGTACCACAACCGAAATTTGTCCAACACAAAACCATTTTCATTTCTTGATGCAAAACAATTCAACAGATGGATAACTTACA